GACTTGAGGCTATAATGAGATGATGTTAAAATTATGAGTTCATGTCACCACTGGATGACTCTCTTCAAGCCGATCAAAATAAATATAGAGATGGTCCAAAATGAAGTTCGGATGCAAAAGTTATGCCAATCTTAGAGATGCTCGTATTGACACCAGATTAAAGAATGGCATGAAATCTAATGATGGTCTCGATTGGAAAAATTTACAACTGCAAAGTTCTTTGTCTCGTTGAAATGGAGGATTTTGATACAAAGATCGTCCCCATCCGAGGTCGTATGCAAAAGTTAGAGGCAAAACCGTGCGCCGCAACAATGTTTGGCTGGATCATCTGGGCCGGGGTCCGGATCATCCGGGTAATTGGAGCACCAAGACACCAGAAGGTTGATGCTGAAGCCGGATGATCTGGGTCAAGTCCCGGATGATCCGGGTAAAGGCCGGACAATCCGGGCAGTCGTCCGAACGTCCGGACATGTTTTTCTGCTATAGACTTTAGAAAACGGCCCGAAACACCCTCAAGATGGCCTCAGATAAAAAAGTGTTCAACATGAAAGTTGTGCGTATTGTTGAGACGGTTGATTTTGATATAAAATACGTCCAAATCCGAGATTGTATGTGGATTCTAGAGTCAAAACAGTGAGCTGCTGTCAAAAAACTGGGCTAGGCCGAATCATCCGTGCCTTGAGCCGGACATCCGGGCCCGGGGTCGTGAATAGTCTGTGTTTTATTAGGTTTTGATGATTTGACGGCTAGGCAAGTCCTTTTCTTGTACGAAAAGTCCATCCACCTCTTATATAGACAAGAGGTAACGGCCGATTGAACAACAACACACAATCGCAAACGCATCTACAATTTTTTCATCTATGTTTTGTTCCTCCCTCGTTTTTGCTCCCTCGTTCTTCGTCGTTCTTCGTGTTGGAGAGCTGCGAATACCGAGGCTCTAGGGGCGGCTTGACCGACCTCGGGCAGCCCATAGCCGCCGCACTCCCCGACTCCCTCCCGGGAGTGTATGGTTTCGGGTCCTCAAAAGCTCTCGCCGGTTGACTTGCAAATCGCGCTTCCGGTGAGACTCCTTCGACGTGAGCTGGGGTGCATCACCCCCGACGTCGAGGGTACACGTGACGTGTTCGTGTGCGAACAATTTGTTGGTGAACATTTTGCTTAGGTCCACGTGATTAACACGATTTCTTTTTAGATCACCATAACGTTATCTTCTTTTTAGTTGATTTGTTACGTTAGTTTTTTGACTACGTGGCATTCATATTTGTGCCTATATAAGCAGTCGGAAGGACAAGATGATATACACACCCAAAGACACCATCTTCCCAGCACGTCACTG